CCCCAAAACCCCAAAACCCCAAAACCCCATTAGGCAGGTAATAAAATTCAATCTCAAAAAATAAAAATAAAATTTGAAAATTCTGTGAATTTATAATTTTTGAAATGGCATAATAAATCGTTGAATTTAAAATGGAAAATACCCTTGTAATTTCCAAATTTTAAGACTTGTGTTTAGGCTTATCATTATGATCAACATGAGGGATTCTATAATCTTTGTGTATTTATTCTAGGTCTTGTGAATAATCTGGGATATTTCGTTATTAATGCATTTGTTGGGCAGCTTGCTGCAGATTTTGACAAAAATTATTTCTTTGGAGTATACATTATGTAAGTTATAAAGTAGCTATTACACTTCTAAATCGATAAACCTTTAGATTTTTAAATGCAGTTGCATGCATAGCTCGATTTTCAAATGCAATTTTTTTCATGAGAATCCAACATGGCACAAGAATCATGATTAATTCAGTCCTCATGATATTTTCTTTCATGCTTCTAGCAATTGCTATGCTGTAATATCAAGGTGTATATACTAGTTTCTACTTATGCATAATCGCAAGTTTGACTCATGGCTTTGCACAAGCTTTTGGAGAAGGAGTATTGCTTGGGTATTTGAAAGGATTGCCATCTGATCTAGTAATGACCTTTGGTTCTGGCACAGGTATAGCTGGATTTTCTGATGCTTTTACTATGATATTTCTTAACGCTCTAGGTGTTGCACAAGGAAGAGTAATTTTATAGATTAGTTAATTTATATTTAGAGCTTTTTAATTCTAGGTTTATTTGTCCTTCCCTATTACTTTAGTTTCTTATGGATTGATGATAAAAGAAAGACGTATATAAAGAATGAATTGATGTATCCTGAGCTTCAAGTCTCCTCACCTGTAAGGTCAGATGGCCTATTCGCCCAATACTACTCTCCATAAAATACAAATAAACAAATATTTGAATACAATGAATCAGCAGCAAGAGAATAAAAGCCAGAGTAGGAAGGACAAAATTATTAATAGTAAATAAATGAGCGAGATTAGGATATCCAAGAAGAGATTAAAGGAATAGTAGTTTATAAAGCTGGAAATGATGAATTGAAATTTGATTAACAAGAATAGCATGATTAAGACTAGGAATACAGGTAATCAATCCCTGAAGGAGAATCTGATCCATAACAGGTTCATAGAATGAGAAAGTGTGAAAGCAAAATGCTGAAAGAATATGATGATGTATCTGATAATAAAAGACTAAGCTTGGTATCTTCAATACAAGTATTTTAAAAAGCAGGCTCCTACATCTACAATATGGGACTTGTAAGTATTTAGCTATGAAATCTTATCTCAATTCTAGGTGAACTTTTTTGAATACTTGGTCATTAATCTTACATTGACTATTCATGTGTACAATAAGCAGACAAAGGCATAATAAATGAATCAAGAAATGTCATTCTTTGAGGAAAACGTATGTCTTTTCTGATTTTAATAGCATATCTTAGGAATATTCTTTCTTGATGATTGCCTACTATGCTGGTTCATTCATTTCAAGATCAACCCTTCATAGTGCAATTCTGTCTAAGTCATATACTCCTACAATAGCTTAAGCGATTAACCTCACAATTTGGATTTACAATCTTCAGTACTCTCTGTTTACTAGTTTTTATCCAGTATTTTTCTTCATGATTTGGTGTGGTTTCCCAGGAGGTACAGCTTACTCAAATTTTCTTTATCTAGCTAATACAAGAACTAATTTGGAATGTGATTTTTAACTACATTATACTGAGAGAGAATTAACTGTAAATCTTTTGATGATTAGTAATGATTTGGGTGTGTTCTTTGCAGGAGTCATTAATTTAGCTGTTCAAGCACTCTATTTCCCAGATGTTCTAGATAATCCTCCTAGTTGATTCAGTTCCTACAGTTATAACACAGTCCTAATCTATTACAAATAATTGACATTATGATCATTAATATATTTAAGGCTTAAAAAAGTTAACAATCTTTTTATGCATATCAACTTTATGTCATTATATTCACTAAAATTATTGATCAAAATAGTAGTCAATCATTTCTCGATACCATTTGTCATTTTTTGGAAAGAATCGTACTAACCGGTTCTCCAGTTGTTAGCGCTTCCCTTCACAATTCTCTCGACTAGCTCATGAAAGTCGGTCTACTTCTCACTTATACCAGTATTATATTTCATGCTTATTCTGTCCTTTATCTCGTTGATGAGATTTTAAGGCTTAACAAAGCATGGCATTTTTGAATCTAAAAAATTTAGTTTATGGCAATAAAAATATACCTTGCATCAAAATTTCAATTAAAGTGAGAATATCATCGAGATGCTTTCTAATCTCAAAGAAACCTCTGATCAGTAAACTCTTAAAGTACAAGTACATTTCACTATCTTATCCATCCATAAGATCTATATACTCCTATGTTAGCTTGAATGGAGCATTTTCAAAACCTATGACTCCTCCTGGGAAGTTTTATAGCATAAAGCCGAAATCTATGTGAACAATGTGTCCCTTTTTGTCTAACATTATATTTCCATTGTGTCTATCTTTGACATTGAATAGATAATTGAAAAGTGAATAGCCAGCCAAGCTCTCAACAAAATGCTTCTAAGCTTCTTCAAAATTGTTCTGATAGTATCTCTCAAAGAAAGTTCTCATATTCCATGGCTTGCCCCCCTTGGCTTTAGGAAATTTCTTCTTGAGTCCATCTATTGAAATTGTATCTGGGATATATTCGATAATGCCAGAGTTACTAGAGGTTATGAAAATTTCATATGGTCTAAGATATATGCTAAGACCTGCTTCAGAAAAAATTTATTATAGCCTTTTCATCAATTATATAGCCAATACTTCCTATCTGAGATCATCATTAGCTTTGACAATCATTGGAGATAATCTGAAGGTTTTAAAATGTCCATACTGACTAATCTCCTTGTATTTTCGACAAATATTAGTCCATTTTTCCTTGAAAGGATCCTCCATTCCCTCCATAATAACTTCGCTCTCAGAGACTAGATCCCACTCATCAAAATTTGAAGAACTTACCCCTGAAACTCTATTATTTTTACCGTTACTAGATTATCTGTCAAAATCGCCTTTATTTGATGATGATTTTCTTTCTGCATATTTTTCTATAATTTGATCTACAGAGTAAGGATCAGAAAGATCAAATTTCATGCTAACTGACTAGTCATTCTTACTCTTTTTCTCTTTTTCAAAGTTATGCTGTGCTGAGTTCTTGGGAGAACTTTTAGCGGATTATGTTTTTGTTGACTAGGACACCTATTAAACTTAATCTGAAGTAAAGATCTATGATTATGCAGTCTTTAGAGGGTAGTTATCAGGCAACTCAGAGTTGGTCTTCTAGATTTAATTTGAGAACAACCTTTCATCGAATTCCACAAATTTAGCAAACTTGTCAAAACCTGTAAAATCAGCATTATGATCAATTTGTCTTTTTATAATATCAGAATTTTTATTACTTCTACCCCCAACATTTTACTCGTTTACTTGCCCTTCTGGAAAATCTTTGATCTAAACTCTAGCCATGTTTGTGAAAGGATCTATATTGAAAGGATTATTCTCATGATTATCATCATCCTCCATTGTAATACCAAGCTATGTATCTAGCGGAGCATCCTCTATATTGTTTAGTTCATCATCTTCTTAACTTTGATTCATTTCATTTTTATTAGAACTATTACCGCAATCTTCTTGCTCCTTATTGACGTCAAAATATGGTTCTTCATCAGCATCCTAGTGGTTTTAATATTGATGTCTAGATTTGTCCATGCTGATAATCTCACTAAGTCTTACAGTCTCAAAAACAACTTTGATTGGTGTCCTCATTTTAGTATTGAAAGGACAAGCCAGTTCAGGGATGATATTCATTATTACAAATGGATCTACATCATCGCCCTCAGATATAGGTAAAATTACACCCTCATGATAGTATTTAGATTCTGTAGTAATCTCTTTTTCCTATATTTGATTTCTGACATTTTTTTGAATCCAATCATTCATCTCCTAAATTTTTTCTCTCAATATCCGAGGCCGTTCATTGATATTCAAAGTTTTTAATTTTATTGAGATTCTCTTGAGAAGATCTACAAATATGATTTAAAGATTCATGTAATCTGCCTTGTGCTACTTATCCTTATATTCCTCAAATCCTATATAGAGTTAAATTAAATTTTTGCTTGAATGAGTTACTTTTTAAAGGAGTAATTTTGTTTTGCGCATACCTTAAAGGAATGTCCCCATTAACTAAAGTTTATTCAAGAGTGTTGTAAAAATCTATAGATTTCTCCTAGTATTGAGCAGTGACATCCTCCGAGTATGATTAAAACAACTAAAATGCCTAAAAAATATAAAAATCTGAGATGTACCTTGACTGCAATATTTTTATGTTTGATGGCTGTCTCTAATAAAAATTTTTCCATTCTTGTTGTTTATTATTTCTTCGTGAGAATCATATAACTAAAATATTTTAAACATGAAATGATTACCAGAGCTGTGGCAGGTAGAAGTCAATACTTTTAATTGGTTCAGAATATAATTTGTGAATTAAAATGTCAAGAACTCCTTCATTAGGGCTCTTATGAAGATAACCGAAAAGCATATGGATGTTAAAAAATTCGCTATTGATCAATCCAAGCAAACTTCCATCTTACTTTTTCTAGCCTTGCTTTTAGTTTTTGACTAAAGCCTGGTCGTAATCAAGTCTGTTTTCATCATTCTTATCTTTATATTCATTTGTGGCTTCATAATTTCTGCCTATGCTTCCATTGGAGGTGTTTTTCTAGCTTGAAGTAACATTATCTAATGAGTCAGGATTACGCTCGAATATTTCACTCTGACTATGAGAGTTTTTTTGCTGGTGTTTAGGTGAACTTCTTTTGTTATTTTCAGCTGTTTCAGCACAGTTTCTTTACCTATTTTATTCTTGATGACTATAAGTGTTTTGCTTAGAATTTTTCTGCTGATCGATAGATTTCATAACTAAATCATTTTCGTTGTCCAGGACATATTAGCTCGTTTGATTGTGTGAGTTTCTAGCTTCCATTCTAAATTATTAATTGAAATTATATATACTATGCCTATTAGTAATTTTGAAAATTTAGATGATTAATTACATTCAGCTTCATTAAAAGTAGGGAAGTACGGGGTTTTGGGGTTTTGGGGTTTTGGGG